GTCTCTGTTAGGACAATTATGTGTGGCTTCTGTTCAGAGACTAGTAATCTGAGTTCATCTAGCTTGTTGAGAAGACTCTGACAGTTAGTGTAATAGATTTCTAGACAGCGGCCACTGGTTCGAGCAGCCTCAGGAGTTGGCCGAGGATACTGCTGACGACATGGGGGCCGTTTGGCTGACTATAAAGGCGCGAAGATCGCAGTGCCTTGAAACTGTTACTGTCGACTGAGCATTGCGGGCGGACCCTGCTGCACAAGCTTGTATGCTGGGAAGCATGAATAAGGTCGGTAGTCGACCGAACGTTGTCCTCGTGAGTGACTTTAATCCACCTTGCATTTAATGGAGCGGTGTGCATGCGAAGTGCTCGAAGTATACTTTTGATCGCCGTCTTCTGAATACAAAATTAGAAAACCTTCTGGCGCGATATATTCGGATGTGTGAGAACACAAAAAAGGAAATCAACAAGAAAGAAAGGCTACGGAGGAAGTTTCGTAAAAACAACGATCATACGGCGTTTACAAGGTACAAAGTTAAAAGAAAGAAGGTGAAGGGCTCGATTATAAAAAGACGACGACTTTTCGAAAGCAATTTGCTCCACAGAGTCGTTAAGAATCCAAAATTGCTTTACAGCTACCTGCGAAGGTGCACGCATAACAAAATCAGATTCCTTTCATGAAGAATGATGACGGTTTGGAGATATCTAAAAGCGGTATATTGAAGTCCGTCCAAAATAACACCCGAATTTCCTATCTGGTCATTTGACCATGTTTCCACTAAAGTTATCAAGTCAGATATAAAGTGGTCTACCTTCAGTATAATTGCCCCTGATCTGTTCAACATACTGTCTATTTTTAGGCATCATAACATCATTTGGCTCCTTAGATCTCTAAAAATTGTTTACTGGTTCTTGCGCCTGACAAGCATTGCTAAGCGTTTCGTATGAAGTATCCATCCCGCTGATCGATATTTAAATTAAAATTGAACGCTGGCAATTTTACCGCAAAATTTACTGGCTGATTCCACGAAAACACTCACATCCTTCTATTTTTATATTTATTTCGCCTTCGGTCCGACACCCTCTGTGATCTATGTGCATTATCCTCTCTACTGCCGACGGCTAGGAGAGTGATCTAGCAAAAAAGGACTACGATGATAGCTTCATGGTTTGGACTAGTGAGACAGGATGAGATCTACGTATACCGATGCTAACTTCCTCGGCTCTATTTAATCGATTTAAATAGCAAAACGTCTATATTTTGCCACTTCACTGGGTTCTAAGGTGTTATTAAGTAAACTTTTGAATGTTAGGAGTCGTGATTTGAAGTCTCTTTTGGGGTGTCGGCAGGGGCCACGGGGACTCAGTGAACAAACACATCGAACAATCAGTTGAGGCAAAAGTAGTGACTGCATCCTAACTTTGATTATAAATGGCGAAAGGAGGTGTTAATTATGCTAGCCATTAGTGACGGACCAAGAGACCATGCACAACCTTCCTTATCTAAAAGGTCACGTGCACTATTGGATAACAAGCCTTCATTTCCGGTCAAATATTAGCTTTAGAGAAGATAAATAGTTTTCAGAAATATGCAGTGGAGAAATAATTAGGGAATGACGTCAAAACTCATATTTTTAGTGGAAATCAAGAATCAGGTAGGCATTTTATTGTACAGTAAAAAGGCCACGTCTTCAAATTACACACTAGCCAATCATGTGATGGCCAGTGGCCGCTCACATGCTCGAGAGGTTCAAAAGAACGAGCTCTCTCTAATTTATGCCATATATCCTGAGTTCATTCTAGAAGTTACGAATCTACCAGATTTGGTAATTTCCTCCCCCGAATTTCGTTAAGTTAGCAGCATTTAGCGGAGAGTGAATGCACAATACCTAATCGTGTGTACCCGCTCCGCCTGCGGTTCCTTCTAAACTCTCCCCTGGTAGACGAAACGATTAGTGACAAGGGACTTCTCCCGTGCATTCCAAATCCGAAGGCTGTTCTGCTAGTAATCTGCAGCAAACAGTATCCTTCTCGGTAGGGCATTTCTGTTAAGTTTTCGCACGTTCCTCTCTGACAATCTCTTTTACCTTCACACATTCCTTTCCTTCCACTCACGTGCACTCTCCACACTGGAACTAAACGCGCACACTACTGAGACATCACGCACAGGTCCTCATATTCCCACTGGCATAGGTAGACTGCAGTTTTGTAGGCGAAAGTCTACACTTAAAAATCCAATATAGTCATGTGCCTAGGTCTAATACATGCTTATTCCCTCAAGGGAAGGAAGCCTTATACTCAAAGAATTTTTGGCTTGTCCGCTTGCATGAATTATGCATTTGAGTTTTGGGTAGACCCTAAACATCACCTTAACTTCGTTAATACCTTTAGTGTGCCTATAAGGACTTTCAACGCTGTCATCACAGGGCAAAGTTATCTAACAATGGCTCTTGAACCTTGAAAATAAACTTACCCCGATCGACTTTTGAGTCCAAAGTTGTCTGGTTCCTCACACAATAGCTCACAGCCAAGTAGTCGGATGTCCGATCATCAAATGAATACACCTTGCATTAGCTACTCCTTAATCACTAGGAGTGACCGGTGGATGATTGAGTTGCGTATCCTACTGAATGGTCAGACAGTTAAGAGAGCGGGTGTTTCTCGCGGATCGACTAAAGTAAGTTGCTTGTCACAAATCTTTCTCCATTTGTCGCACATTTAAAAAGAATCCGATCTCCGAAGAATTAGCCTCTAAATAATGCACTGCATAAAGCTCTCAGTGATTGGTTTTTATCTTGTGGAGTACTGTTGTAGCATAGTTTTGTACCTTCTGCCGACCAGGCCGCTCCTCTTATCGTCTAATACACCTACATTCTCGGCCTGCAGTTATGTTGGTT